GGTCTTTGTAATGAAACCCAAGGGAAATCTGAATCTCTCCGGGTAATGGAATCCGGTGCCCTAATTAGAAGCACTAATTAAACTCAGCTCAGCATTGAGCTGAGATTTGCATTTTTGGTAGTTATAAGCATTCCTACAAAATTCTCTCCAGCCACTAGACTCGTGGAAGGAAATTTTTTAGGTTTGGCTGTTTTCTTTCTGTTGTTCCTGTTTAAGTGTCTCTCTTCAAATTGATTAGTCAAGAAGCAAAAACAATATTGCTTATTAAACACCTTTTGTGAAACAGCATGATAGAATTATGCTAGATGATTCATGGCTCTTGTTTGAATTCATCTTGTAGATATTTTTAAAAGAATGAAACGTGCCATGTCCTGGTACTATCTCTATTTGATTTGGTGTAGGCTGCCTTGGGTCCTGTACTAAACAAGTGAAAAAGGAAAGATCTTTATTAGTTTCATAAAGAACAAACATCAAGCAAGTCCTTAGTCTTTACCAAAACAAGGCCAAAAAGAGCTGGTTCATTTTCTTATCTGCCTAGAAACTGAATAGTACATGTAAAATGGTCAAGAGCTAGGAACCAGGGGGGATAAAATATCTTTGTCCTGTGTCATTTTTTTCCCAAACCAGTCATAGCAGCTTTATTTGACTTGCACATATAAGATTTGAAGAAAGAGGGATATGTGAAGGAAAAAAGACTAAAAAGAAAACACTGCTTCCAAAGGAGTTTATATAGGGGTCACAGTGTTCCTATTGCCAGAAATAATATGTTCTGTGCTGTGTGTACAGCAGAGGGAGTCTTTCCAGGTTGGAACCCGTATATCAGGTTCTTTATGGATATGGTAAATAGAAAAGCACTCAGTTCGATTTTGAGGGTAGATTAAGTGAAAGCAATGATACTTAGATAATTTCTGGAGCTGGCACATAGTTCTCATCAAATTCTGCATAGGAATAAGAGAAATGAGTTTGCGCATAATTCAGAGAATCACAGACAGTATAGTCTTCTTGAAAGTAACTTTCTGTTAAAGCCCAGAAATGTAACTCTTATTTCTGTGTCTACAGATTATTCCTATTAGGATTTGGGTAGAATTGAGGTCCACATCCAGCCCATCTTACCAATATTCTACAAATGTATTTGTTGAGCTAATGAAGGAATAAAATCACTTACCTGCTTTCTACTGCTCTAGTTCTATTAAGTGTAATACATAGAACAATGTATAGTAAATATTTTCTTTACACATTTGAGAAAAAACTCTGGAAGATAACTTGGCTATTTTGATTCTCAGTTCTGGGTTTTCTTTGTCCTTCACGTATCATTCCCTCTTTCTAGTGAATGCCTAGTCTTTCAATTTATTTCTATTTTATTAGGAAGTAATACTTTAATTATAACGTTAATTCAGGAAGGGGTGGAGTGATATCATACATGCATTCAATGACCTTGTGGCTTTAGCATCTAAGTCCAATAAAGATGAGACCAATGCCTGAGCATTTGAGAGTGGCAGATGTTCAGTGGGGCCACAGAGGAAGGGCCCATGTGGGATGAATGACAAGCACCAGGTGGCCGTGCTCTTCTCAGTGACTTTTTAAAGATAGGTTCTATCATTCAAGATTTAGAGTAACAGCCAGTATTTTCCGAGTACCTACTACATGTCTAACATGAAACCCACTTATTTTTATACAATTTTCTTCCTAATTTTCAAAACAACAAATATAACATGTATTAAGGTGATAGTGGCTTAATATTAGAAATTGGAGTTAAATGTGTAGGCAAGAAAAAGCACTTTGGAATTTTCCATTCTTTCTCCATTCACACTGAAAACTTGAGAATTATCATAAGGGAAGAAAGGCAAAAAGGCTCGGACATTTACATACAGACTTTCCCTTTATTTCTTCCTTTAGTGTAGCTCAGGGGTTCTCAATTCTAAGTGTGAATACATGTTACTATATGCACTAATTTCACATACATTAAACTTTAAGGATGATTTAAGGGCATTCAAGATGATCTTGACTATGCCAGGTTTTTGCTTTAGGCATTGACTTTAAAACTAACCCCCAATTAACAACAAACTCTGCTTATTCAAAATAAGCAATATGAATTTTAAAATATGTTTTAAAATTTCAGAAACTGTGGTTATTGGCAAATGATGTTTCAATGGGTTATGGGAGGATAGAAAAGAACGTCATTGAATCATCATCATCTTTTCTTTTTTGGAGACAGAATTTTACTCTCATTGCCCAGGCTGGAGTGCAATGGTGTGATCTCGGCTCACTGCAACCTCCGCCTCCCAGTTTCTAGTGATTCATGTTGCCTCAGCCTCCTGAGTAGCTGGGATTATAGGTGCGTGCCACCAGGCCCTGCTAATTTTTTTGTATTTTTAGTAGAGACAGGGTCTCACCACGTTGTTCAGGCAGGTCTCAAACTGCTGACCTCAGTTGATCCCACCTACCTCTGCCCCCCAAAGTGCTGGGATTACAGGCATGAGCCCACCCCTTCCACTCTTTCCTGAATGTTATAATAAAAGTATCACTTCCTAATAAAATAGAAATAAATTGAAAGACTAAGCATTCACTAGAAGAAGGGAATGATATATCAAAGACAAAAGATAACCCATAACTGAGAATCAAAATAGCCAAATTATCTTACAGAGCTTTTTCTCAAATGTGTAAGGAAAATATTTACTATAAATTGTTCTATGTATCACACTTAATAGAACTAGAGCAGTAGAAAGGAGGTAAGTGATTTTATTTCTTCATTAGCTCAACAAATACATTTGTAGAATACCTACTGGTACAATTGGCTGGATGCTGAGCTCAGTCCAGCTAGTGCCCAGCCAATCATCTTCTTTTCTCTCATCAGCATCTTGTTGCACTTGGCTCCATTGCCAACTACAGGAAAGCAAAATAATCAGATAAAGAAGAGTTCAAACTTTCTTTAATTAAGTTCTCTTTCTTTTACAGTCCTATAGCATAAGAGAAATCTCTCAACCTTTCTCTGTATCTTTTCTAACCTATAAGAAGAAAAGATAGAGCCATATTTACAATAAGTAAGTTTTAAAATCCCTCCTTTTCCACCCAAGATTATAACTTCCTCTGAAATAGCCCTTCCTTCTTAAGTCTTCCAAGGCAATCCTTTGCCACATGGCACCACAATCCAGGGTTAAGGCCAGACAGATGGGTTATAAATTGCAAATCTGCCCCTTGATAGAAGTGTTAATTTGTGCAATTTATTTAGCCTCTCTGAGACTCGGTTCTCTCAGTCATATAATGGGGATAATTTCTTACTTCCTCTTAGAACTGTTAAGGGGAATATGCCTGGAACTAAGCAGGCATTCAATATTCGTTGACTAAATAAGAATTGTGCAACACACAGTATTGAAGCAAGCACGTAGTTAGTTCTTATTAAACTAGAGTTATTATTATAACTTCCTCTTCACTGCTAAATAAATGAGAATGATGTTGTTTTAAACATTCTAAATAAACAAAATTGCAGACTTGGGAGACATGAGGGCATTGGTGGGAAGAACAGAATGTCAGTGTATAAGTAGTAAGGCACTGTTTGAGTGATTTCATTTGTAAATTCAAATTTTGCTCAGTTCCAATTCTGCCACTAGTGCTTACCCGGTGAGGTGGCAGCAGGTAAAGGGTCATGAGTGCATTCGTGTACCTCCATAACCAGAGCCTCTACACTTGGCTTCACCTGTGTTGCTCCAGCACCAGCTCATCCTTGCTCACCTGGTCTCCTTCAGGTCTTAGTGGTACTGGACTCATGAGTCTATCTGTTCTCATTACGTCTGGTTTGGAATCCTTACCTAGGGTCTTCCTACTCTATTGGTCAGCTCCTGCCAAGCTCACTGGCTTCCAACTCAGCAACCCAGGGCAGCTACACGTCAAGGCCCCTGCCTGACTACACAACACTGCCCAGCTGACCATGTTAGGATTATTTTTCAGATTGGAATAGAACATTCCATAAGGTAACTTCTTCCAATAGTGCTAAAGGCCAATGTGGCAAGAGCTCCCATGCCAGTCAGATTTTCTTCAGTGTACCTAACACATTTCTTCTCTAGGTTGAAATTATTCCTAGAGACATCAGATGAGCTATCAGGAGACCTTGAAAGATGACTGTACTCTGCTTTCTGTCTTTTTCCTCATATTTCCACAGTCTTCTTTCATTGCCTTTATATCATACGCTCCTCCATCTAAATGCCAGCTAAGCCTTAATGGTCCAATGGCTAACTCCTCTCTAGTTTATGTTAATTCTATAAGCTTAATCCTGCATGCTGGGTTGTTGATCTGCTAACAATGGAGGGAAATAAAAGAATTTTAAAATCTTCTCTCAAGACGATACCTTGGTTTGTTTTTTTCTGCATAATCCTATTTCTGCATGTCAGAGCTAAATATTACCTTGGTCTTATTCTTTGCACTGCTTCAGAACAAAATTCTAATCTCTTTGAAGACAGATGGATGCCTTGGATGAATTAGGCTGAAGATTTTATATCTGCAAAAGCAAAAGAAAAAAGGGGCACTCATAATTTCTTGAATATTTCCCTACAGTGTTTCAAGAGCAAATTGGAATTTACTGGGAAATTTCCTCTAAAGAATATTACAGAAACATTCAGGCCATAAAAGCCTGCATAATCTTTTTAAATAATTCATCTATTATTTGTATACAGTACAAAATGTACAAAATAAACCAGACCAACTCTCCAAATTCTATGCAATTATAACTCTTCGTGTTGTATAGATACATTCTCAACGTAAGCTATATTGGTGATTTTATGGTATTGACATTTATTTATATTGAACTAAGCTATGATCGATTTCCCTAAATGGAACCTTAAAAAACTATACAGCTTTTTTCCAACAATCTTCAAAAATTAAGATTGTTGTTTTCTGTTATAATGAAACTAATAAATTGTTCAGCCTGGTTTAATTGCTAGTGTTTCTTGTACTTGATGATGTAAATTTTAAACTAGAAAAGCAGAAAATTATGTTTTCTTTGGCAGGCATTTGATGTACTTGGAAGAGTTGAAGCTTACCTTAAGCTCCTTAAATCAGAGAGTTTAAGTCTGGCTGTTTTGGCAGCGAGGCATGAGGAATTACACAGAAAAATTAAAGACTGCACAGCTGATGCTTTGCAAAAGGGACAAACCTTAATCAGCCAAGTAGCCTCCTGCAGGTGAGTCAAGTCTGTTTCTTCCTCAGTGTAACAAGCTTTTTCAAAGCTTCCACAACCTGTTAAAAAAGATGCATGATTGTCTTTTTCTGGTTCAGATGTTTTGCTGCATTATGATATGGCTTAAAAGGATCTATTGAAGTTTGATCAACAGCTATTCTGAACACAGCCATTGCTCATCCAGAAGTGAGGCCATATTCTGAGCCTGGGGACATACATATGCTAAAGCTTTCTGTTTACTTGGTTCTGAGGAGGGGAAAGGGGATGGAAAAAATAAGAAATGGAGCTTTAGTTCTCAAGGCTTTTCAAACCCTAGCATCTTCATGGAATAGCTCCTTCCCTTTGGTTTGTGAAGCTTGAGTCTATCCTGCCCCTTTTTTTCTTTCTGGAAGAAAATAAAATACCAAAATTTCCTCCAGATATGACCTTGGTGGCTCACCATGCAAAACCCTAAGTAAACAGTGACAATTTGAATACAACTGCTGGGCTCCAGACCCCATGCTTTTGAACCATGCTCTAGGTGGGCCTGTTTTATGAGCACATTTGGTGAATACATCAGTGTTGAGCGTAGCAGGTATGATGAGAGAGAAAAATCTTGAGAAACAGAGAGAGTATGCAGTGGGAAAGCATGGGAAAGAACAGGGATTGGAAGACAAAGAGGAGATGACAGAGCAGATAGTGGAATGCATATTGACCAGGAAGAAATGAAAGCAGAGCTTACATTTTGCCAGAGAGTGACAAAACAAGAATTTCAAATAGGTTAAACCCAATTTTTCAGCTTCCATGTCTACAGTCTCCTTGAAACTCAAAGACATTCAATTTGAAGAACCATAAAATAGGTGAAATGTGATAAAATCATTTTATTTCTGTTTAAACCCTCGTTCTATTGATTTGGTAAGTTTGGGTTTGGGGAAATATTCTTTCCAGAAGACAGTCTGAATCCAGACAGAGGTATTTAACCCAGGGTTTGTGATGTTTGCTACAGAACCATGCACAACTAAGATTAGAAATAATCCAAGATCTTCCAATAAAATCCAAAACGTTGAGGCTATGAGGATAAGAGATTCTCCCCTTTGAAAAATGAATAACTATGGTTTTTTTCTAACTTTCTTTACTTTAGCTCCAAGCCATGTATCAAGTACTAGGGTGTTAACCAGGCTTCAGGAGTTTCTTTTTGTTTTTGTTTTTGTTTTGTTTGTTTGTTTTTTGTTGTTGTTGTTGTTTTTATTTTTTATTTTTTTAGCTTCAGGAGTTTTAAGGTGTTCCCATCCAGGCACAAAATATGGGTACAGGAACTCCTCCTTCTCCTCCTCCTTTCTAGCTTTTCCAGAATGTATAAATGTCTTGAGCAATACAGAAAACACCCTATGGGGTGGAAGAGACACTTATTGTGCCTGGACTCGAGTACATGTTGGTCATTGATTTGAGTCATATAATGACTGAATTAAGTGGTGGGGTTTCCATTTACAATTTTAAAATGATACATTTCCAGCTTAACAAATGGGTCTCAAAGTATGTTCTTTCTCTGGTCAGGCTACTCTTTGCTTGTGGCATGTTCCCTGGCTGTGGAAAGGTTCCTTTCACACATAGGAGATCACTATATAGCCAAAGACCTCTGGCCAAATCGCTGGAGTTCTGTTTGTGGCTTACTCCTTCCTGTCTGGTGTCCTGCCCACAAATTCGAGATGCCTTGACTCAAAGTCTGATTCCTGTCTTCTCAACTCAACAAAAGCTCCAGGTTCTGTTTGGGTTCTACCTCTCTGGGTTTTGATCTAAAAATTACCTTCCAGGCAGTAAACCAGTGAAATCATAAGACTCATCTCATGTATTTTCCTTCTCTAAGAGATCACTGCCCTGTGCTACCTATTGTTCAGTGTCTGAAAACCATTGTTTCATGTACTTGTTTTTCTAGTTTGTTAAGGCATGAGGGTAATAAATCCAGTCCCCGCTTCTTGACCAGAAACTCAAGTTCCCTATTCAGTTTTGGTGCTTTAACAACTGGAGTTAGAAAGGTGGTCACGACTTTTTACTGCTAAATTTTATGCTGTTTGCTCTAATCAGTAATGCTTTATTTAAAAAGAAAATAAGAGGGAAGTTGCTTTTATTTTATATACATTCTATCTTTGAGGTTTTATTGACTATTTTTAGCCATTCATTTTGTCACGGTTGATATGTTTATTTACTTCTTTATGTGCTAAGAGTAGTGCTGTCTCATTCAATTACAAACAAAGAAACAAAAAACCCCAACTCTGCAAAGCAGACATCTTCATTTCACAGAGAGGTAACCGAGATTCAGAGAAGTTAAGTTTAAATGTCATGCCATTGTTTTTGGCACTCAGAATGTATGAAATCAAACTCCCTTGACACAAGTCTTAGGTTCCTTTTCCATACCAGTTTTCTTTTTACCTCTTTTGCTCTTTTTGGTCTTAATTTTTACTTAATTATTGTTTTTCAAAGAGACATCTGTAATTCTGCCTTTCATCATGCAGACTGGTTTCAATAGAAGAAGAACTAATTAGGGACTATTTTGAAATGCTTGAATTAATGCTTAGGTAACTGGATTTAAGAAAATCATTAGCAATATCGTTTCTGTCAAAATCATAGTTCCAAGGTATGTGGTTTCCTCGAGATTTCATAATATTTTATAAGCCAAATACTATCTTCATTTTGCAGGAGGAGCTGAAGATAAAATTGTTTCTTGGCAAAGGACGCTTTTTGATTCAGAAGGTAGATGTAGAATAAAAATCCATTAAAAATTGAACTGAAATGCATTAGACTGTCAGTTGCAAACTAGAGCCATACATTGCTACTTACCTAAATCTCATGTATTCTGTTTGGGATCTGCTTCCTTTCCTCATCTAATAATTTATGTGCTCAATGGCCTGAGTCACCATCACAAGAAATAAATAGAACCTAAGGATAAGATTTCAAGTTCCAGCCACTGCTAGAGTGAAAATGGAGTTTAGAATGCTAGCAATGGAAATCAATGTAAATTTCAACAGAGCAAAGCAGATATTGTTGAACATCACAGTAGCTTCTGAGACTTCTGAGTGCCAGTGTCACTCATGGGACACAATATATTAAGGTTCCTATTACCAGACACCAGAAAACTGGTATGTATAAGAAACCCAAGACTTCATGTTAAAGGAATTTTGGTTCATACATTCTGAATGCCAAAAGGATGCCCTGACATTTAAACTTAACTTCTCTGAATCTCAGTTTTCTCTTTGTAAAATGAAGATATACATTTTATAAAGCTTCTTTGAAATTGAATGGGACAGCACCACCAGGTGAGCATAAACTCACTTGTTTATTGAGCCCTCTCTATGTGCACCACCATCAGCACACAGAGAAATCTCAATAAACAAGTAGGGTGACACATCACTTAACAGTGAGGATGTATTCTGAGAAATGAGTCTTAGGTGATTTTCTGGTGTGTGAACATCATAGAGTGCACTTACACACATCTTATACACACCTGCACATACTTACACATGGTGTAGCCTACTACGTAACTAGGCTACTTACTGTTTCTAGGCTGCATATGGGTGCAGCATGTTACCATAATGAATATTATAGGCAAAGGAAACATCGTGGTATCTGTGTATCTAAATAGAAAAAGTACAGTAAAAATACAGCATTATAATCTTATGGGACCACCATCATTGATTGAAATGTTTTATGGTATGTAACTATGCTTCTCTTTTACTTTCTGTATAAAGAGCTCAAAAAACAAAATGCTGAGGGTAATATGGTTGTTTCAAATGATTACAACACAGTCAGTTTTACCAAATTGTATTCATTTTCACTAACCGGGAAACAGGAAAGACAAGCACTTATCTTAATGTCATAAAAGGCTTAATTTAGTATCGGGGCAGGTAGGAATTTCAGAGGCCCTTTGTTCTGATTTTTTTTTCCTGTTAGTCAAAAAAAAAAAATAAGACCTCAGAAATTTGCATTTATGTGAGATAAAGATTCCTTAGTAAATCTGAGACCCTTTCATTATTGTTCTGTAATTACTACTTTATTAGGAGTAGACCCACACTATTTTACTATCATGCAATTGAATACATTTGAAGTTTGAGCAGCTTCACAAAGCAAATTGTGGTTATTTACATGTTTTCTTGCCTTTTCTATTTCCTGCCTTTAATCTGATGATAATTCAGAGTCATTATTAAATAGTTGTTATCTTTTGGAGTACAATATCTTTTACATAACCGCTTTAATTTTAAAGGCATTTTAATGGATTCTTTATGATGCCTACAAGTACATGTAATAACAGTTGTCTTAGTCCATTTTCTGTTGCTGTAGAAGAATACCTAAGACTGGGTAATACATAAAAGAAAGAAGTTTGTCTAGCTCATTATTCTGGAGCCTGGAGGGCCAAGAATAAGTGGACACATATAGTCAGCTTCTGGTAAGAACCTCATGCTCCCTTATAACATGGTGGAAAACTGGAAGGAAACCAGGTGTATGTGATAAAAGGGCAAAACACAAGAGGCAGCCTTGCTTTATAACATCTTGCCCTAGTGGGAACTAATCCATTCCGGAGAGAACTAACTCAGTCTTATGAAAAAGACATTAATCCAGCTTAATGACCATGTTATTTACCTCTTGAGGACACCAGCTCCCAACACCACCACACTGCGGACCAAGCCTCAGCCTGAGTTTTGGTGGGGACAAACCATACTCAAACCGTATGGCCAAACTTAGACTTACGGTGAGGTTGAAAGCTGCTGGCTTCCAGCCTTCCTTATCTCTCCCTAAGCATCATCCTTGAGAACCAAGTCTAAAGAAAAACCAAAGCTGTCTTGCTACCAAGCAGAATTTTGTGTTTATTAAGCCACAAAAATCTGTGGTAATTGGAAGTGCTGGGTCCAGGACCTTGTGTGAGGGTAAAGTTTTCTATAATGGGACAAAAAAATGAGGGACCTCTTTTCTTTCTTTCAGTACTCTTACCAATTCAGACTGCAAAAGCATATAAAAACCCAGCAAGACCAGGC